ATACTATCAATCATGCTCTCCATCTGGACTGCATGAAGGCATTAGAGTGTGTGGATTCAGCACAATGTTCTGGGTATATTCTCTTCAAGTCCTCGAGAACAGTCAAAATAAAATTCTATCAAACCAAGAAAGAAGTCGCTCGTTCTTCAGTATCATTCTTCAATACTTCTAGTAGTACCATCCATAGTGTAATAATATATGTGTCAGCCTTGGATCCATCCTTGCACGGATTTCACAAGGCTGTCACAACGGGGGATGGGCGAGCTCAGTGGTGGGATTCAAATAATTTAACAACCGGTCCTCTGGCCTAATGACTGGCTGGGTGGGCATGACCATGTTGGGAGTGGCCAGGAGGTGTGACAGGCAGCACTCAGCCTCCTGCACCCCCCTGGGAGCAAAAATGGGCCATGGGGGCGCACTCTCTCCCTGTGCACTGTTTTGGGCCTACTAGGCTCCCTGCAGCCTCCTGGGAGCAAAAACAGGCTGCGGGAGGCTGCACCGCATTTTGGGCCTAGTAGGCCTCCCTGCACTTACCTGGGAGCCAAAACAGGGTGCATGGGGACTTCTGGAAGGGGAGGGGCAGGGAGGGCGAGGCCAGCAAGCAATTTAACAACCGGTTCAACCAAAGTGGTATGAACCGGTTGAATCCCACCACTGGGTGAGCTATGGGAACAGGAGGGTAGAGAAGGGAGTATAGTTATAACAACATTCTTCCACATGAGCTGAAGACCGAGCTGCTGGCACCTAGAGGGGAGTGACTGAAGGTTGGCGGAAGAGAAGAAAGAGGGTGATTGTGGCATGTGATGTGAATGTTGCTAAATGGGGCAGGGTGTGAGTTTTACTGTGGGAAGGGAAAACTGCAAAGTTTCAGATTCGGGGTTTTCCCTGGATGTGCCAACATGACTTCTCTAATAAATTCTTACTTGGATCAACTTTGTTTTTCCTAACTTGGGATGCACTTGAGGTTTTATCCAAAGGTTATCAGCCTTAAGTATATTCTAGCTACAGTGTTTGAATGCTCATGGGAAATTAAAGGCAAATATCCTTAGAGACTGTATTGTAAGATTCTATAAAGAAGAAGAAAATCAACTTTCTATGATGCAATCTTCTGGACATTCTTTAAATGTCGTTAAGGAAATTAATTTTGCATGAAGTCTGCCATTTCCCCTATCCCCACGATATGATGAATCTTTTATTATTATGTTTCTGCAGAACATTGTTTTGGTGAATGGATGCTGAGATGTAGCAAAAGGCACTTGATAAAGGGAAGGTGGTAATGAAGAAAAAACGAGGCAAGGTAAGTGTAGAGAGCTCTTTAGAATACAATAGAATAACTTTATTGTCACTTTGATTGCACACTGATCGGCATACATTAAAATGAAATTTCGTTGCATACAGCCCTCAAAGGGTCACCTCCTCCAATATACACTACATAAACATGACAAAATAAATAAATAAATAAATAAATAAATACATACATACATACATACATACATACATACATACATAATTATGCATATACCCACATATATTATATGACACAGAGAAAAACACAGACTACTTCGGATGAATAGAATAGAATAGAATAGAATAGAATAGAATAGAATAGAATAGAATAGAATAGAATAGAATAGAATAGAATAGAATAGAATAGAATAGAATAGAATTTTTTATTGGCCAAGTGTGATTGGACACACAAGGAATTTGTCTTTGGTGCATCTGCTCTCAGTGTACATAAAAGAAAAGATACGTTTGTCAAGAATCATAAGGTACAACACTTTTTTTTAAAAAAATTGATTTATATGCCACCCTTCTCCAGAGACTCAGAGCAGTTTACAATGCGCTAAGCAATAGCCTTCATCCTTTTTGTATATTTATACAAAGTCAGCTTATTGCCCCCACAATCTGGGTCCTCATTTCACCTACCTTTGAAAGGATGGAAGGCTGAGTCAACCTTGAACCTGGCGAGATTCGAACCTGCAGTAATTGCAGGCAGCTGGTCTTAATAACAGGGTGCTTTAGACCACTGTACTACCAAGACTCCATAATGACTTAATGATAGTCATAGGGTACAAATAAGCAATCAAATCGTATTAGGAAGCAATCAATATAAATTGTAAGGATACAAGCAACAAAGTTACAGTCATACAGTCATAAGTGGAAGGAGATGGGTGGTGGGAACGATGAGAAGATTAATAGTAGTGCAGATTTAGTAAATAGTTTGACAGTGTTGAGGGAATTATTTGTTTAGCAGAGTGATGCGTTCGGGGAAAAAATGTTCTTGTGTGCAGTGCTCTATAGCATCATTTTGAGGGTAGGAGTTGAAACAGTTTATGTCCAGTTTATGTGAGGGGTCTGTAAATATTTTCACAGCTCTCTTTTTGACTTGTGCAGTACACAGGTTCTCCATGGAAGGCAGGTTGGTAGCAATTGTTTTTTTCTGCAGTTCTAATTATCCTCTGAAGTCTGTGTCTGTCTTGTTGGTTGCAGAATCAAGCCAGACGGTTATAGAGGTGCAGATGAGAGACTCAATAATTCCTCTATACATGTACATGGTGAGAAAAACAAATCTTGCGAGTTTACCAGACGGATGGCATAAGGAGCAAAGCTGTTACAGAATCTGGTAGTCCTGCTAAAAATACTTTGAAACCTCCCAGAGGTGAGCAACAGAAACAGATCCTAAAGTGGGTGTGTTGGGTCTCTAAAAATGCTTTGAGCTCTAAGCACATAGTGCTTATAAGCAGTATCCTGATTAACAGGAAGCGAGCTTCCTAATATCTTCTCAGCTGCCCTTACCACTCTCTGTATGGACTTTCTATCTGAAACCCACAACTGAAATATACCAAAAAATGTTCATTTTACTTCTGTCTAGTACTTAGATTTTAGGAAAAGCTGGAGACTTTTTTTCTTAATGCTTTCCAAACTGCTTCCTTCACTTCATTGTTCCTAATGGTGTAAGTATTAAGTAATACTAATTAAGTAATAATTAAGTAAATAAGTAATAATTAAGTAAGTAAAGATTAAGTATCGGGACAACTATACTATTCACCACAGAAACAATCTTGATTCTATTGAAGGAAGACTCTGTTAAGTCCATCTTTTTTAGAACGAGCATATGGAATAGAATTTCACTGCAAAAATGACCACGATTTGCTAGCCTATATTCAAATCCACTTCCACAGAGAGAGAAACATGATTGCTATTGTATTTCTAGAGTCCTTTATCTATTTGATATTTCTATCACATCCTATATTTGGTTTTTCAGTGTTTTTCAGTCTTTCCTAGATAATAAATAACATAGAGAAAGTTGTTGCAGAGAAGTATGGGATTTTGGGATCCCATAATTCTAGTTTCCAAGTTCTAATTTGTGGGCTTCTTGATGCTCTCAGAGCTTGGAGGTGTTTTTGCAGATGTTTAATTACCAAACTGGGTAACATCATTGATGCACTGATCAATCAATCAGAGTAGAGCTGGAAAAGACCTTCAAGGTCTTCTAATCCAACCCCCTGCTCTCATGGTGAATCCACAACTTCTGAAGGCAAACTGTTCCACTGGTTAATTCTTCTCACTGTTGGGAAGTTTCTCCTTAATTCGAGGCTACTTCTCTCCTTGATTAGTTTCCCTCCATTGCTTCTTGTCCTGCCCTCTGTTTCTTGTCCTGCTCTCTGAATTGAAAAATAAGTTGACCTCCTCTTCTTTGTGGCAACCTTTCAAATACTTGAATACTGCTGTCATGTCCACCCAGTTCTTCTTTTCTCTAGACCATCCAAACCCAAATCCTGCAACTGTTCTTCATATGTTTTTGAAGAAAGCTGATGATCTTACCTAATTCAGTAATGAGGCATCTGTAAGAAAATCTCCAGGCTGTGAAGCAGGGACTTCACAGTTCAACCATGAGGTACAAATAGGTGATACCTTGCTCAATAGTAGTAACTGTGAGAGGGATCTTGGAGTCCTAGTGGACAATCATTTAAATATGAGCCAGCAATGTGCTGCAGCTGCCAAAAAAGCCAACACAGTTTTAGGCTGCATAAACAGAGGGATAGAATCAAGATCACGGGAAGTGTTAATTCCACTTTATAATGCTCTGGTAAGGCCACACTTGGAAACCAGTTTTGGTCGCCACAATGTAGTGTTGAGACTCTAGAAAGAGTGCAGAGAAGAGCAACAAAGATAATTAGGGGACTGGAGGCTAAAACATATGAAGAATGGTTGCAGGAATTGGGTATGTCTAGTTTAATGAAAATAAGGACTAGGGGAGACATGATAGCAGTGTTCCAATATCTTAGGGGTTGCCGCAAAGAAGAGGGAGTCAAGCTATTCTCCAAAGGACCTGAGGGTAGGACAAGAAACAATGGGTGGAAACTAATCAAGAAGAGAAACAACTTAGAACTAAGGAGAAAATTCTTGACAGTTAGAACAATTACATCAGTGGATCAACTTGCCTCCAGAAGTTGTGGATGCTCCAACACTGGAAGTTTTTAAGAAGATGTTGGATAACTATTTGTCTGAAGTGGTGTAGGGTTTCCTGCCTAAGCAGGGAGTTGGTCCCTTCCAACTCCTATTCTATTCTATTCTATTCTATTCTATTCTATTCTATTCTATTCTATTCTATTCTATTCTATTCTATTCTATTCTATTCTATTCTTCTAAATATTATTTTCTATCACATTCTAATGTATATCAAAATATTTCGCCTGTCATCTATATCTTCCAAAAATGTGATTATATTTTCAAGAAACTCCAAGTGACCTCTGGTTCTCCAAATTTCACACATGGCATCAATGGCCAATTAGTGGTTATTTTATTGTGGATTCATGAGTAATGAAATTCCATAACTGATACCATAGCTGATATTCAAATACGTATCTGGGAATGTCTTATTCAGCTACTATAATTGCACACACCTCTTGCATCACAATAGCAGTCCTTAAGAAACGCAGTTGAAACTCGATTTAGTGAAGATTCCATGTTTTCTCTTTTTGTAACAGAAGAAGAACATGAATTTGACCAACTGCACAAGAATAACTGAATTTATTCTGGTTGGATTGCCACGTGTTTGGGGAATGGAAAGTGTGATGTACGCCAGCATCTTTCTCCTCTACATCCTGAGTCTGATGGGAAACGGACTCATCATTATGATAGTAATCAAGGACCACCATCTCCAGAAGCCAATGTATTTCTTCCTTACCAATCTTTCTTTCAAAGACATCGGACACACCACAACCTTCATACCCAAGATGTTGGTCAATTATCTCTCGGAAAATAATTCCATCTGTTTCTTTTGCTGTATAATACAACTGTGCTTCTATTTTCTGTTTGGGGTGACGGAATTTTTTATCATCTTTTTGATATCCTTGGATAGATATGTAGCCATCTGCTATCCTTTCAGATATGCCACTATCATGACCTCAGGGGTCTGCCTTAAACTGGCAATAGGAGCCTGGTTTGGAGGCCTTTCCTCCGTCCTTTATCAGCAAGTACTGACTGCAAACCTACCCTTTTGCACTTCCAACGTTATCAATCATTTCTATTGCGATGCTGGGCCCGTGTTGAAGATTGCAGGAGGAGATACACGTCTCATTGAGGCCCTCGGCTTCCTTGTTGCGGTGGTTGTGGTTGTGTCCTCCCTGGTTTTCACCCTCATTTCTTACTTCTTCATCGTCTGCACCATTCTTCGAATGCCTTCAACCTCCAGACAGCAGAAGGCCTTTTCCACCTGTGCTTCACATCTGGTTGTGGTCAGTCTTTTGTACGGGTCGGTCTTTTTTGTCTACTTAAGACCGACTATCAAGAACTCTTCCTTTAGTATGACAAAGTATGTCTCCATACTCTATACTTTTATCACCCCCGTGCTCAATCCTTTCATCTACACCATTAGGAACAATGAAGTAAAAGATTCTGTACGCAGAATGATTGGAAGAAAAGTTACCGGTCTCAGGAATATCTAATATCTCCAACTCTTTTAACCCTGGTTGTTGTTGTTGTTGTTGTTGTTGTTGTTGTTGTTGTTGTTGTTATTATTATTATTATTATTATTATTATTATTATTATTATTAATTAAATTTCTATACCGCCCTTCTCCAAAAAGGACTCAGGGCGGTGCACAGCCAAAGTAAAAACAGAGCATACAAAATTTAAAAACAGTATTAAAATAATTAAATATTTTGACCGTAAATTAAAACAACCCAATTTAAAACTAATTTAAAATTAAACTCAAGCCAGCCCAGCTAGTTGAAATAAATAGGTTTTCAGGGCCCGACGAAAAATCCAGAGGTCTGTTATTGTATGTAACTCTGGGGGAAGGTTGTTCCAGAGGGTGGGCGCCGTCACAGAGAAGGCCCTCCCCCGGGGTCGCCAGCCGACATTGTCTGGCGGACGGCACCCTGAGGAGGCCCACTCTGTGCGAGCGTACTGGCCGGTGGGAGGCTATTGGTGGCAGAAGGCGGTCTCGTAAGTACCCCGGCCCTAAGCCATGGAGCGCTGGCCATGGTTAAAAGAAATGGGAAGTGATTCTGTTTTCCGGCAGATTTCTTGTATATTAAACGTAAACCTAATCTGTCTTTTGAAGGACTCCTATATCAGGGATGAAATGCTCCTGGTTCGGACCAGTTTAGCCAAACCGGTAGCGATGGCAGAGGGTGGTTTGGAGAACCCGTAGCGATGGCAGTGTGAGGCTCCGCCCACCTGCCCTGTTGTCATTACTTCCTGGTTAAAACCTGTTTTTTACCCTCTGCACATGCGCAGAAGAGTTTGCGCATGCGCAGAGGGTCTGTGTGCACATGTGATGCGTGTGGACAAGAGGAGAGTGTGTGCATGTAACACATGCACTTCCGAACCAGTAGGGAAGGTAAGTAGATTTCCCCCCTTGTCCTATATGTATCTATTCCTTCAAGTTGGGGTGTGCTCAAAAATATCAACAAAAATTCATATGATATTTCACACTGCGTCCCGCAACAGCGAGGTAATTGTGAGTCACATTCAAGTGGAATGCAACATGTTTTCTTTTTTCTCTTTGTTGAGAAGCATCTGTATGTACTGTATAAAATAAAATTTGGTATCTCCTGATCATTTGGATTTCAGAGCAGGACATTAAACTGAAATTGCATCAGTCATGCTTCCCAGTGTTAAAGTTGGGAAGGCATGGTGCAAGCATCCTGGTTCTCCTTCATCTTCTGGTACAGTGATGGTTAACCTTTTTGGTGCTGAGTGCCCAAAATGCATGCAACTAAACCCCCAAAATGCAATGTGAGTGCTCCCCATGCATGCGCCCTGCCCCGGCGCATATGCATGCATCCCCCCATGCATGCACATGAATCCCCTGTGCATGTAACCTGCCCCCCCTACACATGTGCCCCCCGTGCCCCATTTTGGCTTCCAGGTTGATTCAGGAGGCTTTCCAGGCCTAAAATGGGGCACAGGGGGGGCAGCACAAGGCCTCCCAGTGCCCCGTTTTGGGCTTGGAAAGCTTCCTGCACCAACCTGGAAGCCAAACAGGGTGTGGGGAGGCTGCAAGAGGTCCCCCAGGGCCTCATTTTGGGCCTGGAAAGCCTCCTGCACCAACCTGCACCCCCTGTGCATACGCCCCACCCCCTGTGCATGCATGCATCCCCCACATCTGCACTACTCTCTGCACATGCACGGCCGAGACCCGAAGACCAGCTGGCCAGTGGGAGCTGTGCACACATGCACATTGGAGCTGGGCAGGGGCAATGGTGGCTGTGCATGCCACCTGTGGCATGCGTGTCATAGGTTTGCCATCACGGTTCTAGCATCTTTCAATACCATTGATTGTGGTATCCATCTGGACTGCCCACAGACATTAGAGTGTGTAAATTGGACATAATATTCTGTATATACCTCTCTTTTTTCTATGATTAGTTTCAGTTGGTATTTAACAACTACTTGAGGGAATTGACTGTGGTCATCTGTCAGTTTGGAGTGAGGTAATATCCAGCTGGATATTTCCACCTTGGACCAACCTAGTGATACTGTCAAAATCATGCTCCAGTAGAGGCCTGAATAGGGAGGAACAGACTGAAGTTCAATACTAGAAAGACGATTGTCTGGAGATATTTGGACTCTATTGTCGATTGTACTTTGTTGGTCTCAAATAGGGTTACATTTTCACATTTGAGATTGGTAAACAGGTTCTATTTGCTCTTTTCTATTTTGAAATGTTCTGAGTATTGTGTGCCACCAAGAGTTATTATGGAGTTGGGCAACTTTAGAAATTGAGTAAGTAATTATAGCAATAGCAATAGCACTTAGACTTATTGTCAGATGTAAATGCCTTATTCTCTAATGTGTAAATAATATATGAACGGGGTATCAGGGGTTAACTTATTCTTCACTTCTTAATGTATTCATAATTCACCACTCCCACTTATAGCTCCACCCATTGTATATATAAGGAGCCACCCACACCCTTTTCCTTGCTTCTATCTGTGAATATTCAGTGAATATAGAATGCCTATTGTAAATAAAAGGAAATATATTTAAACCTTTAACTCTTACTAATATTATTGAGTCTGATCCTGAAAATATTGCAACAAGCTGGTAGCAGAGGATGGTTAATTGACTCAATAAAAAACTTAAAAATGTCTAAGAAAGATAGGCCCAACACCAGGGCCTACAGCAAAGAAATGGAAACAGAACAAGAAATAATCAACGAATCCACAAACGCAATTTCGAGAGAATCCGAAGAATACACCACTGAAGACGAAGAAATAATAGATGAAATTGATGACCAGAAGGAAATCGAAATAGAGAATAACGAACTCAGGTCAGAGATATTAAAACTATTAAAGAGCCAGAAGAATGATGAAAGCCTCATCGCGAAACTCCAAGATATGCTGAAGAACAGCGGAGCAGCGAGAGAGAAAAACATCACTAATGAAAAGTCTAAAGACCCAAAAATAGTGAGTGATATGACTGCAGAGAAAGTCATTACGAAGAAGAAAAACGGTGATCCCGCGCGAAATTTTGAATGGCAGCCATCTTGGTTTCAACAGGCCTCCAGGGTGAGCGAAGCAGAGCCAATCAAAATGCTCAATTCAAAATTTCTGGCGCGAAAAACGTTATCAAACAACGAAAATGAAAAAGAAGATTCAAACTCCTCAGAAGAATCAGAATCAGAAAGTGAAGATGATTCAACAAACTCCCAAATAAAATCAGCAATGAAAACGCTTTTTGCTGCATTTGGGCCAAAACTAAAAATTAACAAACAGCTACCGAAGAAGCGAGCGAGCAAGCCGATGCCTCAAGACCTGCCCGCTCCCATCCTGACTACGAGGACGCCGACGCCCGAACCCAGAAAGCCCTGCCGGTACCGCCCTACGCCACAGACCGAAGCAAGCATCAAAGCCCTCAGGGGAAGAGGAAGAGCAGCCGCCGTCGTCAAGACTCCCAAAATCGAACCAGAGACCGATTCATCTGAAGAGGAGCAGAACGAGCGAGCCACAATGGAGAGAACCTTCCACGACGACTCCAAAGAAGAAATGGACAACGCGCATGCGCAAAACTACGCAGACGGTCCGGGAAGACATGAACTGGCGAGGAGACCATGCAGACTTGTTGCGAGCATCCCCATGCCGTTTTGCAATTTTCTACACTTGCGAGACCACGGACTACCTCAGGTTGTAAGTAATGGACACAATAATGTCGGAAATTTACCCAGTGACTTCCCAAAGCTAAGGGTTGATGGCGTTAATTTGCAAGAATGGTATCAACAGCTCCAGGTTGTCTTTATGAAGGAAAACTTATTATTTTTTATCACTAGTCCCCCAAAAAGACCTTGGACTCTAAAAATAGATTGTTTACACCATAGAGCATTTTTCTTAATAATATCTAGTGTATTTCCTGCAATGTATCATAGCATTAAGCCAAATCTGACTGTTTCAGAAATCATTCAATGCATGTTTAATTTGTTTCACAGTGACAGTGTAGCTACCACCACAAGGATGTCTAAAGATTTCTTTTCATCTAGGGTAAAACCAGGGGTTTCCATAAGTGAGCATTTAATATATTTAAACAAAATAAGAGCTGAGCTGCATTTGAGGGGGGAGGTGATTTCAGACCAAACAATGAAAAGTGTTATTATCAACTCACTTGATTCATCATGGGACAATTTTATGTCACATTTAGACACTATCAATCTAGGATATTTATCCATAGAAAGTCTATCCAATAAATTGATAGCAGAAGACAATTCAAGAAGGAATCGTTCTAGAAATCACACAGAACACAAACCATATAGGAAAGTAGCTTTCCAAGAAAAATATAATGAAACATTTAAATGCCACAATTGTGGATCCAGGGAACACAATAGAAGAGACTGTCCCAAAATTTCAAGAGAAAGGCACAGGTCAGAATATAGAAACAAATACAATTATAGACAGTCTTCCATAGATAGACATAGATATAGGAGCCCACCAAATTACAAAGAGAATAGAGGGGGCAGAGATAATTCAAAGGATAGAAAATCTGGCTCACTGAACGGGCTAAATAAACAAGACAACACTAACATACAGCAAAATGAGAACAATAATTGGCTTATTGATTCTGGAGCAACTAATCACACCACTAATAACAGAAATATATTGTCTTCATTTGCAGAAGATAAATTTGTAATAAAGGTAGCTAACCAAGAAAAGGTGCAAGTATTAGGTAGAGGGAATGTAACCTTGCCTGGTCTAGGAAAAATAGAGGGGGTATTGCTAATACCTGAGATACCTCATAACATACTAAGTGCTATAAAACTAAGTAGAGATTCTGACATTAACATTGTTTTTTCAAAAGGAAAAGCAATTTTGGAGAAGAATAAAATAAATATAGGCACAGTGATGATTAAAGGAGGCCTACCTTATCTGATAACTAAGGAAAAATGGTTGCATAACATTGACTCAAATATGGAAGATTGTATTGAAGTAGATGATGAAAATATTAGCAA